AGAGAGAGACCGAAATTGCAAGAGATTTCTAAGCACGGTCAACAGGAAAAAAATTACTGGCTCTAATGTGACTCCATGAGCATTCAAGATGACCTACTCACTTGGAAATGGGAAAGCCCGGATGAAAGAAAACACAAGACCCGAGTATCCTCGAACGGCTTCACGATGGTCATACTAGAGGACATTTCGGAGTGAATAGAACTCTAGAGAGTGCGTGAGAGGTACTATTGGGTCCATTGCCGTCTAGATGTGAAAGAGTGGTGTAAGCGGTGTGACCTGTGCTCTTCGAGAAAGGGTCCGAAGACAAAGGAAAGGGAAAAGTTGAAGCAGTACCTCAGTGGGTACCCTTTCGAGAGAATCGCAGTCGACTTTTGGAACCACTCCCTATGACCACATCCGGTAACAAGTACCTTATGGTTGTGAGGGACTACTTCTCCAAATAGCCCGAAGTAGTAACCTTATTAAACAAGAGGCAAAACGGTGGCAGAAGCCCTGTTGCAGAATTTAATTGCCAGATACGGAGTACCCCAAAAAATACACTCGGATCAGGGTCGCAACTTCGAATCGAATTTTTGGAAGGAAATGATGACTCTGTTGGGAATAAGGAAGACAAGAACAACTACTCTCCACCCACAATCCTATGGAATGGTTGAAAGGCATAATCGCGCCATCAATAACTACCTCTCAATGTTCGTCTCCGAAAACCAAAGAGACTGGGAAAAATTGGTTCCTCTTTTTCTGTTGGCATACAGGAGCTCCCAACATGACGCAATAGGTTACACACCATCCATGTTGTTAACTGGTAGGGAACTGAAGCTTCCGATAGATGTATTGTGTGGCAGTCCTTTCGATGAATCTCAAGAGGTACCTCTTTCAGAGTATGTGAATGACCTGAGGGAGAGACTGAAAATTGTACACGAATTTGCCAGGACCAAATTACAGCTTTCCAGCGACAGAATGAAAAAATGATATTTGACAAAAAGCCGCTGCCAGTGAACTTCAAAAAGGGCGATGCAGTGCGGCTTTACCAACCCCAACCCACCTGGTGTGCTTCAGGTTAGCTGTCTGAAGTGGAAATGAAGAAATTGAATTGCATGTTCAGAACTAAATTTAAACTAAAGTTGACGTAAATATCGCAAAAGAGTGTTATGAACAAAAATGATCTTCGTGTTCTTAAGAAGCAGTAGAATAACATGATTCAGGAGTATATTCGAGCGCTGGATAAAAGCAATGCTATATTCAACAATCCATGAATTTGAGTCAGATCGTGATATCAAATGGAATTAAAAAACTATACAGTATGTAAAAGCCAAATGGAATAAATTCATTATTTTGGTTACGGTACATATTTTGAAAAAATCCCAAAACATGCCAAATTAACATTATAATTTGACATACTTTAACGAAAAATGCTACCATTACCTTCAACTCCCGTCGAATGACAGGTACAAACCCGAATTTTTCAAATAGGAAGTATAGGTTTGTGATATACCGTTTAAAAGGTCTCCCCATTCTCTATTCAAAATGTTATCGCTTTCAAGATTATTGCAGAAATTGGCTAAAGTTGGGGTATTGATAGTAAAAAAGTAAGCAAAGACGATAGCAATGTTTTTTTTTGAATGATATCCTTTAAAAAACTGTAATTAATTTCCGTGGCAACGTCAGCTTAAAATGCCTTGTCAACTTGCTTTGTATATTACATTAGTTGTCAGTACATTCAATTCAAGTTTGAAGTTCGTTAAATTCAAGTCTGACAAATGGTTAGATTAACGAAAATGCATAAAATAACACTTCAACAAATGATTGGTTATGGAGATAAAACCCGAACACAACAGGAAGTAGCTCGCCTATTCCATGAGAAATTTACCGCCCATATCTAAAGGAACAATAACCATAATAAAGAAGCAGTTTTGCGAACTTGGTCATGTGGGGTAGATAAAAAAAACAGTTGCCAATGCAATGAGTGATGAACTCCAATTAGATGTGATGCTCAAGTTTGGGGGGAAACCCACATACTTCAAGTAAACGGGCATCCACTACATTCAATGTTTGCCATACATCGATAGTAAATATATTGAAAGAAAATGAAATGCATCCCTATAAAATGACACCTACTCAGGAGCTCATGAAAGACGATTTTGATAGAAGAACTTATTTTTGTAAGCAAATGATGGACATATTGGATAACAATATCATCCAATTAGAAGACGTTATGTTATCTGATGAGTGTACGTTGTCTCTCAACGGTCATGCTAATTGCCGCTACTGGTCAACGTGAAATCCTTACTGGATGAAAGAAGAACACACGCAATACCCTCAAAAGATTAATGTTTGGACAGGAGGAAACCATATCATTGATCCCTTTTTCATTGAGGGCAACTTGAATGTAGATAATTATTTGGTACTACTCCAAAATGATGTCATTGCAAGTTTAGCAAATTTATATCCTGATCCAGGAAACCCTCAAGTTCAAGTGAATACGATATCGTTTCAGCAGGATGGAGCACCACCACATTACCAAGTTAGTGTCCGGCAATACCTCGGCAACATTTCCCAATCGGTGGATAAGGAGGCGAGGATCGATCGAATAGCCAGCGCGATCACCTGATCTTTCATCATTACATTTCTTTATGGGGATATATAAAGAGCAATGTGTACAAAACTAAACCTCCCGATTTGAATGACTTGAAAGGATAAATAATGCTTGCGATTAGGTCGGTCACGCCTGATATGTCAAATAATGTTAGAAGACAGTTTTATTTGAGATTAGGATGTTGTAGTGAACATTTTGAACATCTACTTTGTTAACATTCATAGTCCTTTTTCGTATTCTTCATTTCATTACGTTTTGCATTACATTTTAATTTGAGTGTATTTTATCGAATTTCGAATTTATATTTATTTCATCCCGATTGTTGCAATTAATTTGAAAGCCATAACATTTTCGAATAGAGAATGAAGAGACCTTTCAAACTATATATCACAAACCTATATTTCCCATTTAAAAAATTGAGTCACAGCATAGGTAACAATCAGCACGGACACTTGGCCATGCCGCCTTTGATGTGTAAAAGTATCTAGACGCCATTTTGGGAAGTGACGATAAGAGGGCAGGACTCGCGAAATGGTTTTGGACAGGTTCGCACTCAAACTTTTTATATACGAAATGCTCATATAATTTTGATATAACTTACGGAATGGACCCAAATTCAATTGATTTAATAATTCATATGCAGACATTCTATCTGGTTACATGATTTTTTTTAAAATGTCAAAACAGCCGAATTATTTCTAAAATCACCAGTAGGAATACAATGGTTCAATCAACTGGAATATGAAGAAGAAATTGTCCAGCAATCAACTTATGATCCACCTCTCTTAAAATGAATGTGATTTTGTATATTATTAATTAACCTTTTAGTTGAATTGCTTGTTCTCCATTATAAGAATTGACGTTCTCCTTGCATTTTAAAATGAACTCTTCTTCAACATTTAATATATACATAGGTAAGTTCTATCCAAACATCAACTTACTTTTGTTACTCCAATCTTTTTATTCTTTTCTAGTAATACGTTCACAGAACATTTTTTGAATGTCAATATCATGTAGTTGACCCACTTAGGATCCTTCTAGGTTTCCAGGGTAGCTGGTGATTATCATATAAGGAAAATACTAGAAATACAAATTATTCGCTTCAAAACATTCATTCGTGTCTCCAAATTATTATTTTATTCTTCCTTCTTTTTATAGCAATATTTTTCCGAGATTTGAAATTCCTATTTATATATTTTGATGTTTAAAATAATCTTACTCTACCATATAACTCCAGAAGGTGAGATATTGGGAAATTTTCACATGAATGGTTATAATTTTATTGTTCAAACAATGATACAAATCCTGCAATGACATTTGTTCCTACAATAAGATTCTCAAAATTGCTTTGGAAGTTCAATAAAATAAACAAATTCATTTTTGGGCATCCTTAAGTTACCGAATGTGTCAAGAGTTCCATTTTGAAATGTTCTGCTGTGATTGGGTGTTGTACCTGTCATTCGAAGGTGGTTGGAGGTAGGGATGGAATTTTTACAATAAAAAAATGATAAGTTATATTTGACGTGTTTCGGGATTTTTTTTAAATATGTACAGTAACCGAAATGATGAATTAATTTCATTTTACTTTTACACACTGTACATAAGGAATGCATACAGAAAGATTCTTACATAACTTCATTATGGCTTCATAAGGAAAAGTGTCAAGTACTTTCACATTCAGAGAACTGTGTTTATGTGGAATAAACTTCCTGAGAATGAATGAATGAATTCAATGTTTAGCGATTCCTGCGATTCAAATCCAACGTGAATCGCTACTTCCGCACAGGCACCGATCTAAAAGCGTTTTTAGGAATTTCCTGTAGTGTTTGTGTTTTGTCCTTAAAAAAAGCCTATTATTCTGTAATAGTTTTTTTCAATTGTTAAAAAGGTATTGAAATCGGCCTGAAAATAATAAGTTATTGAAAATCAAAACTTGTTAACATTTTAAGGTCGCTGTTCTTTATGCACCTAGTTGCTATTATTCATTTTTTCTTGACAAAGACTATGTAATGATAAGCTTTCCACTCTTTTCAACGAAGTACGTGATTTTGAAAAAATTAATGTGATCACAAACTTTAAATTATCTTAAGAAATTACCCATTAGAAATGAAATTACTCTTGTATGAAATGTACTAAGTGAATAAACCAAAATTTATTTGTAGAAATACTTTGTTCAGGTTATCATAGTCAATGTGTATCTGTACTTAGATTTTCGAAAATATTTAAATCAGTTAAAAATATTTTCGAAACCATTAACAATCATATAAACAAATAGTTAGCGTAGAAATATAATAACATATAATTCCAGCTTGTCAAAACAGCTAGCTGGAAAATAACAACCCAAATATCAAATTCTAATCAACATAGAGCCCACACACCTCATTTGACAAGAAATGGCAATACTCACCGAGAAGTAGCGCTTCTCTGAGTGGTAATGTCTGAGTTTGAACAACACTTTCTCTGTCACTTTGAAACAGCATTGGCATCATTGACGCTACACATTTCACCCTCATAGATCCACCGCGAAAGTGATGACTGCTCAGTCGAAACCTCAAACCCAATACTGAAGATACCAAGCCATGTTGATAATGTTCTACAGGGTACTGTATCAAAGCTTCTTGTTTTTGAATCTGAAACAATAATAACCGTGATATATTTCAAAGAATAATACGTTATAGTCACTTCTATGCTATTTGGATTTATAGAGAAAGTAAGTAAGTCAGTAAACTAGCGATCTACCCGGGCTTCGCACGGGTGCAATGCTGATACTAAATATACTACAGAATGTCTTCATATACAACGTTCACAGTGTTTTTGACAGTAGACAATACACACATGTTTTCTTCAGAAATTGTTTTGAAAAAGCGACATATAACTGGCCCGGGAGAAAGAGTGATGAAAACTAACTTTATTTTATGAACTCCCCTTTTATCACCGCGTCTGACGCTCCATTTGAAATATCAAAAAATCCATCCTTACTGCTCACCTTCAATACAAAACGAACCTACATACAAAATTTCAGCCTCCGACAGGTAACATTATTTTATGAACATGACCTTTTCCCCGCGGCTGGCGCCGCAGTTGTAATACATGAAAATCCTTCCTTATTGCACATCTACAACATAAAGCGAAACTACATACAAAATTTCAGCCCCCGAAAATATAGAACTAGGGAAAACAGTGAAGGAAATGTAATTTTCACATGAAAACGCACCGCTTTCATTCCCAAGAGGACTCTTCAGCTACAATTTTCAAAAATCTTCTCTTATTGCACATCTACAACATAAAACGAACCTATATACAAAATTTCAGCCTCCGAAAATATAGCGGTAGGTAGAAACAGTGATGAAAAGGTAATTTTCACATGGAAACGCACCCCTTTTCTTCCAGGTGGGCTCTCCAGTAACAATTTCCAAAACTCCTTCCTTATTGCACATCTACAACATGAAACGAACCTATATACAAAATTTCAGCCTCCGAAAATATAGAAGTACGGAGAAACAGTGATGAAAAGGTAATTTTCATATGTGAACGCTCCAGTTTCACTCCCACGGGGAGTATTGATTTCTAACACTGTTAAAAATCTTAGGAATCTAAGAATCTAATATATCCTACTATCATCAAACTACTTTGATATATTTGATAAGGCTTTTGATGAAACTTCAGTACGACTTTAGTGAGGTCTACGATACTTTAGAAAAAGATTTTCTTGAATATTAGATGTACTACTGTGGCTTCTATTCTAAAATAAAATTGTTCAGGTTTTACAATGGGGTAAAATACAGGTTAATTGAGGCAAATGAATATTAAGTAGATGGAGACTCTCTCGAAAATTACATCAGGAATTATGAAAAAAAAGTTTCTTTGAAATTGACGTATGTACAACTGAAAGCCTTGATACCTTTGATAGCTTTGACAAACTATTTCATAGACAATCGATGAGCATTTTCTGCGACCGAAAGTGGCAACTGTTGGTCCCAAAAATAAATGTCTATGTATCTGCTATTCAAGACGTAACTACAAACTCCAAATATTTATAGTACTGAAGGACGCATACATCTGGAGTACTGAAGCCTTGGGAATCGAATATGGACTGAAACAGGTCTACTAAACACAACTGAAATATCGAAATCTGGAGGGAAATTTGGAGCCAATAACAGATGACTGTCCCGTGGGTTGGGCTACCTATAGGGCGCGTCCCCAGGTGGCGGATAGGGGAACGGCCAGGGGACTGGAGGCCCTGTCCGGGAAGCCAATGTGGCCTTACGGACGGGGTTGCCTGGTCAGTGGCAGAAATATGTTGGATGAGGGGAACTAAAATCCCCCCAAAAGCCCTGCAAAACATGCCACCGCGGACCAGCCTACCCAAGCTATGGTGTAAGGAATCGTGCCGACAGCTGAATGGCCGCAGGGTGCAACCAGCAACCAGCAACCTAGGATGACTGTCTACGTTCCTAAGAAATACAGAGCGTTTCCGATGGCACAATTCAGCACCGCAGACCCCACTGCGGTTAAAGTTGAATGTCCAGTTGGAAAAGGCAATTATATGGCGTTGATAATCGTATCGGTGTACCTCCCTTCAGATGCAGCCACCCTACCACCGACCAAAGAAATGGAGGTCTAGTGGATCACTGCATCAACCAGATAGTGGAGCTCATATTGGGTTACGACTCAAACTCTCACCACTTGAGCTGGGTCAGCAAGGATATCAACGCCCGAGGTAAGCCACTGCATGAATATATAATACAGAAAGATCTAACAATCTTGAACAGAGGCACAGTGCCAACATTTATTAACGCCTGTAGCCAAACATTAATAGATATCACGCTTAAGACAGCTAAAATACCAAACAAAATCCAAGACTGGTAAGTTTCGGACCATATTTCTATGTCAGACCACCGCTGGCTGACCTATACGGTAAGCCAAGATTTCAGGACCAACGTGAAATCCCGTGACTCGAAGAGGACGTATGTAGCTCTCTACAATCGACGCTTAAGAGGAGCTCTGCGGGAAACAGAGGTCCTGACACCTGACAACAATGAAGAACTGGAAAGGTACACCGTATCTATACACAACAAAATAGACATTGCCTATAAGGAATCCTGTCCGATGAGGATGGTTCAAACACATGGCACAACCAACACATGGTGGTGCCCTGAATTGTAACACCTCAGGAAGACAGCGAGAACGACCTTTTTCAAGGCAAAACGTGAAAGACTCGAAGAGGACTGGGGTATGTATCAAGCCAACCTCAGAGAGTTCAAAAAAGTCTGCAGATGAAAGCAAAGAGAAGCCTGGAGAGCCTATTGTGAGGCAGTCGAAGACTTCCCACTAGCTTCTAGGCTACAGAAGGCACTCTCACATGATCACCATATGAGTATCGGCATTCTGACGAGGGAAAATAGCGACAAAGCCGCCAACCCCCAGGAGAGTGCTGAGATTCTTATAGAAACTCACTTTCCAGGTTCTGTCTTTCCTGGAATGACGAACTGGATGGTTTTACCAACAACACCCTCACAATACGACTGGCAATATGCTAGTACAGTAATTGATGAGGATAAAATGAGATGGGCTATATCGGGCTTTTCCCCCTTTAAGTCACCAGGACCTGATGATATAAGACCAGCCCTACTTCAGTGGGGACTGGACACTCTTATGCCGCACCTGGTTGGAATATTCAGAGCCTCTCTAGCTCTGAGGTATATTCCCAGTAAGTCGAGAGAAGTGGAGAGAGAGTAGTATTTATACGCAAACCAGGTAGGATGGACTACATCCTACCAAAAGCATTCCGACCAATTAGTCTCACATCGTTTTTCTTAAAAACCATGGAGAGGCTATGTGAGCGGTACATAAGAGATGAAGTACTTGTTCACAACCCACTTCATCCAAATCAGCATGCATATACTCCAGGAAGATCTACTGATTCGGCCCTTCACCATGTGGTTGGCAGAATCGAGAGATCATTGGACAACAAATAATCCACCCTGGATATATTCATAGATATCGAGGGAGCGTTTGATAAAACAACCTCTGCAACAATTACCCAGCAACTATACTCCAGGAATGTACTCCTGGTAGTAGGAGAATGGATACTCCAGATGCTCTCTAGCAGAACAATAAGTATCAATGAAGAAGACATCACAGTGAAAGGACTGGTCATGAGGGGATGTCCACAGGGAGGGGTCTTATGACCCCTTTTCTGGAACATAGTTCTGGATACCCTAATTAATCACCTTAACAAAAATGAAATGGATTCTACATAATTGCATACGCAGATGACATAGTTATCTTGCAGGCCGGCAACTTTGTAAACACACTGTGCGATAGAGCGCAGGGTGGGCTCAAATGAATAAAAACATGGTGTAAGGAACACTCACTGTCGATCAATCCCAAGAAGACTGAGATTGTCCTTTTCACCAGGAAAAGAAGTTTAACGAGCTTAAAACTTCCCGGAATCTTCAAAAGCAAACTAAACTTGTCTAAGAGGTGAAATACCTTGGTACTATCCTCGACAAGAAGCTAACACGGAACTCTCATCTCCAGAGTAGAGCAAAAAGAGAATACGTGGCTTATGAGCAATGTCGAAGGACAGTGGGAGGCGCATGGGGTCTTTCACCCCGTGTGGTCACCTGGATCTACACTGCAATAATAAGACCTATGTTAACGTATGGAGCCATTGCATGGGGACCCAAGGTTTTACAAGCAACGGCCATTCAAAAATTATATCAAATACAGCGACTGGCTTGTTTAAACATCACAGGAGCCACCAGAACAACACCAACCGCGGCACTGGAATCAATCAATGATCTGGCTCCTCTGGATCTGTACGTTAAGGAGGTTGCGTTCATGGCCATGGTACGATTGTGCACGGCTGGTGTAAACCTCGAAGTAGGAATGGGTCAATTGAGGCTGGGCCTATGGCGGGAAGCGCTTGCTGCGCAACCTCTGCTGCAGGCAACAAGTGATTGAACCCAGATTTATGTTTGATAAACGCTACAAAATACAAATTAGGCAGAACACAGAGTCAGATGCTACAAATGCAAAACGCATTTATACAGACGGCTCCCATATCTTTAAGGATTGAGCATGGGTTTCACATTTGACAAGTTCCGCAATTGTTGGAGTCATCAGGCCGTGGGTGCCACTGGGTCCTTAAATTCTTAGTACAGTCGCTTCCTTGACAAAAGAGTCGGCAATGCGATTACCTTCACGTCTGTCGTGCCCTTTAACCCACCTCAGGATAATGTTATCATCTACCGAGGCTTTGGCTAAATCTTGATGGCACTCTAGTACTAGCCCTGAGGTAACACGCTGTCTGTTCAAGTATAATAGTGCTTGTCTGCTATCAGTACAGATTGTTATGTTTTTGCCAGAAATTTCTTTCTTGGTTATTTCTTTTGTGGCGATTGAGATACCAGCCAGTTCTGTTTGGACCACGCTGGTATTTCTTCCCATTCCTCACTCAATCCTTAGGCTTACTGATCTGGAGTACACTCCACATCCTTTAATAAACCCTACAAAAAATTAAGCAGAACACAGAGTCAGATGCTACAAATGCAATACGGATTTATACAGACGGCTCAAAGAACAATTGATTTCTTTCCTCTAAAATTCCTTATACACAATTTCTCCAGAAATTCCTGGAAAATGATAATGATGTCACTCATTCTGATAATTCAAATATTTTTCAATCAGTGTTCATTCGATATGAGTGATCTCTTTGAAAAAAAAAAACATAATCCTACCTGTTGTTCGTTAATATACCAATGAAGTATGGACGCTGGATGGCTCATTCCGGACGTGCAATTCAAATTTATTTCATCGCCGATTTGATAATCCTCTTCAACCCCGGTAATGACAGGATTTTCAGTGGGAAGTTCTGAAACAAACAACATTGTGATAATGTTAATACTCTATTCGAAGAACGAACGATGTGACTGAAATATTAATGATTCGGGAAAACGTTAAAATTCGTTCAGGATTATGGAGGATTTTTATTGGAATGAAAAGAGTAATGAATCCAACGAGTGAGCAAAAAACTGATTTTCATGAGATACTAGTTGTTGCCCGCGTAGAATTTGTTTCGTCACATTAGGTTTTGTGATAGACCATTCTAAACATATAGTTACAATATTTTTTATCAACTCAAAACTTCAAGTTCACGACTTGAAAACTGACAAAATTCAATGCAATCTTTGATCCCCTATTTTTCCTTTGGAGTGGAAATTCCCGATTCCTTTTCTTGATACTTACTTACGCTATACAAAGAACCTACCTGCATATTTCGAAATTCTAGGCGCTCTTGGAGCATTCTGTACTAGCCCAATCGATAGCCTACATTACGAATCCGGAGAACCGACTGACTGATCTGTTTAAAAAAAATCTATTTTCCCGTAAACCAGCTGTCTCACCCCTACGAACGACAACCCTCAGAAGTCGAAACTTGTGTGAGCTAAGGATTAACGAGGTCTTACCTTTTAACGTGTGATTCC